TGTAAATGGCGCATGTATATATAATATAATAGTGAGCATTTAAATAAATACATAATTTAATGCTCACTAAAAGGAATGAAATAAAAATAAATAATTAAAAAACTCGACTGCCAAAATCGAACTAAAATTAAAGAAACATGTTTCGTTTAAACAAAGAAACATAATAGAACATTTGTAATCAAAGAGGCTGTGTTTTTAAATTATTTTTTAACTATTTTGAAAAGCAGTCGTACCTAACCTATATCCTTCTATAAATTTCACTTATAAGCGTTACAGTCTAAAATATTTGAGCCTACAAACTTCCATTGTTAAGTTACGTGCAAAATCATAAGAGTTACCTTGAGTTTTCTTTGAGATCACAAAAAGGACAATCATTAAAAAATTTATTATACACAGAAACACAGATTGGACCATACTAGACAGAGCAATTAGCTTGGACTTGTAAAGAAAAAATCTATTATCCAGCAACAACAATGGTAGTAAAACACCGATAAGGTTCCGATATGGCTCGTAACACAAGACTTCATTTTATTGATATAATCAATTTCATTCACTAATGGTACTAAATTATATAATGATTGATTTAAGTAGAAGCAATTATTATTTCCTTATTTTCTATGTATAAGTAGTGTTTCTAACTTATAAAAAAGCGATAATGATGATCATAACGTTAAATCGTTTAAGTTTAATTTGTGCCGTAAAATTACTTATATTTAATATCATACTTGTTTGTTTTTTGAAATATTAGAATATAAAACGTAGTAGTAGTTAGACTATGTATTTCGTTGCGTTTCGAAGGAAAACTCTTCGAAACGCAAATGACACTTAGTAGATTTTTTTTCTTTTAAATAATTTTTTATAAATGATATGTATAAAAAAACTCGCGCTCAAGTGTTCCGTAGCGAAAAGGAGCATGAAATCACGTTTGTTGTATGGGAGCCTTCTTAAATATTTATTTTATTATATTTTTTAGTATTTGTTGTTGAAGCAGCAACAAAACTACATCAACGTAAATTCCAACTGTCTACATTTCACAATGAGATACAGCCTAGTGACAGACAGACAGACAGACAGCGAAGTCTTAGAAATAGGGTTCCCATTTTACCCTTTGGGTACGGAAAAATCAAAATAGTTTTAATCAAATACAGATTTTCATAATTGTTTACTTTTACGTACGACGTCATAAATGGATATTTTTCCATTCTTTTCCAGTTTTTTTTTCAATGTTCATTTCTGAATATATAGAATTATGTCTTAACAACGAAATAGTTCTTATATTTTTTATTACTTCAGACTCAACAGCGTGTTGTACGAATAGAGAAAATCAATACACAGCCTGTTATTCATATTGTAGATTTGACCATAGAGATTATTACCTATGTGATTTAACCTTAACTCTATGGATTAAACTCAACAGGCATTGAATTGTATTATTTTTTGGCGGGAATATAACTCCTACAATATTTGCTTATGATTTGTGATGGACATTTTTCCTAAGTTAATTCTCGTTTCCTGAACGCATCTGCCATCTTATGTACTCTCTACACGTCAAATACGACCATTTAAACCTCTTCAAACAAAGGTTTAAAAAATTATGATATATATATACTCCCAAAATTAGCCTCGGGTTTTATAATGATGTTTTATTATCTGAGGCCTATGTATACCTTAGATTGCATCAGATTTGTTTTTTACTTCATAGCCAGAATAGTACGTGATGCAAACCCTGGCTGATCCCATTCTCTACCTCAGGGTACCTTTACTTCCGTTTAACATAGAGATGTTATCAAATAAAACAATTGACATTGTAACTTAAATATATGTTCCGATGTTAGTTATTTAAAAAAGAGAAAAGAAATCGTGAAAAAATGTGAGTAAAAATAAAAAATACAATATTATAATGAATCAGTGCATACTGATTCCAATTTTTCCTGTTACTCGTGAATTCAAGTATAGAATAAATGGCGAGTATGTATTAATGGATAGGCGCTCAGTTGTAATATTAAATCACCGATAAATCACTGATTCCCAATAATTATAACTTCCCCCAACGGAAAAACGAATGGCATCCTGAAATATTCAATTAAATGCCCACGACAAAATTTCGCCAATATTAATTTCCTGGATGTATTCATTCAAACTTTTGGTCCGTGTTTAACTGTAAAAGTGTATCGATTTGTAACACATGCTTAGGTTAATCTTCATTTATAGAAATTGCCCTTTGTTGGTTCGCCATTAGTTTCTTTTTTCTAATTTCATAGTGCTCTACTTTTACAAAAACCTTAGTTCAGGCAGATCTACCTACATGTATGGTTTTACACGAACATTCAATTAAAATCGAGTTCAAAAGTTTCAAGTACAAAACAACTTGTGCACGGTGCAAATTCTGAAATTAATCGCATCAAGTTGCAATGTTTGCCGAGGGTCTGGAGCCGGTTTGCCTTCCCTAGCACATACAAATTTTCAGCCGCAACCAACAACTTGCGTCTTATAGTTTCCTAAATTAAATTGTTTAAGTTTAGTTTAACTATACCAAAACGATTTTTTGAGTACGCAATAGAAAGTATTCTGCAAAAATATGCACATAAAGCTCTTTTTTTATAATATTACATTGACTGCTCGTACGAATTAACATGACACCAACAGAGCGACTGTCTAACTCCTCTAGCTATAACTTTAGCCAAAGAATACATAGGCCCGGTGGCGTAGAGGATAAGCGCCGCAGTCCGCGATCATTGTTATTAAGCAACTTTCGCTAAGGTCGGTCACGGGATGGGTTACCAAACAATAATATTATGTCGAACTACTCCGTGCTTTGGAAGACACGTTAACCCGTTGGTCCCGGCTGAATTTGCAGTCGTTAATACTCTCCAATCCGCATTGGGCCAGCGTCCATAAGGAAGGTCTGAGCCCCTGCAGTGGGGACGTAAAAGGGCTGATGATGATACTTTAATAACGAAAAACGAATGATAAAGGATAAAGTCGCTAGAGAGTTAAGCGGTCGCACCCTTAAGGGCCTATTCTATTTCTCTGGAAACAAGATTTCGTATGTTTTCGAAATGCTATTACGACTCCAAAGAAAGCTTTTTTGCTATGATTTATGATACAACGGATTTAGGACCTAACACTGCCTATGATGCATAGATAATGTTTACGGATATGATTTCTACAAAATAATACGATTCAAAATTTTTCGCAATTCCGTTCGTGAAAAGATAAAATACGCCCTTTAAGTGTAAGTCGTAGGAATTTTAAACGTATTCGTAAGCCTACATGTTTTCTTTGGTACTTAAAACGCTCAGAGGCTAAGCACCTCAGCCCATACAGAAGAGTGCAGCGAAACATTTTCCTAGATTTTCAAACGACCGAATCAGTGCTCCGTGATTTAAATAGCGAAAAGTTCTACTCGTTCCTGTTTTCAGACTTTTTATATTTCAAGATGGGTTCGTAAAGTTATTTATGCAGTTCTGTCTATACATAATGAATTCATTTATTATACAATTTCAATGTTATTGATTAACAAGGTTTAACATTAGAGTAAATTACACGGAAACTGCATTTAGTATTAGTCAAAATTCTTATTATTAAACAGAGACTTAGCAAAGGTTAACTTAGCACAAGAGTCTACGGGAGCAATATTTACTTCTAGAATGTTATTCTCTGTATAACATTAATTTGGACAAATACTAAAATTTAAATTTGAAAAACCTTGTTTATTAATAAGTTTAATATTCTACATTGTTACATATACGGTTTCAAGTTGTCGCCATCTCTGATTCTTGTATTTAGTTCATATAGTCATGCTTAAATAGTATTATAGTAATTTACCTAATACTTAGAAGAAGCTTAAATTTATTATTAGAGTAATTAGTTTAAATAGTGTCAGTCTCCTAAAAATATTTAAAACAAACTAATTTGTAGAGAATAAAAATAATTATCATCATTATTATACCTACCTAATCTACTTACCTACCTACCTAAAGACAAGCCTTAATTTTTTCACAGCACTTACAGAAATGAGTTCACCATTTGATTTATTCTCATTAAAATGCTAAGCGAGGCCAAACTTTATTACGATTCACGAGTCGGTTCCGTTTATTCACTGGAATTTTAAAAGTTCAAAGCAAACTTCACCTCTTCAAAATAATAAAATTTCATTGAAGGAAAAAGGAACGTTTTGTGGTAATAAAATAATTCAAACAGTAGATTAGGCAATCTCATGGGATGACAAAGAGCAGCCATCTTTAAAGTCTTCATTTAAAATATTCCATCAATTTTATTAATTTTGAAGTTCAAAAATGTTCACCCTTTTTTTAAATAGGTACTTGTATTATTTTACTTAAACAAATCCGCGTATGTTACATTTGACATGAATGAATATTTATGCTTATTATGGACTATATTTATGGTTTGCTTTATGCTTCATTTAACAAAATCACAAAAACGCAATTCCTCTTTCCACCGATTGACCTTATTTGTCAAAAATAAATAAATACATATGCATACATATACTTATTTACTGTAGACTAAAGTCGAATAATCCTCTCTAGAGTCTTCATTTTTATGTTATCTAAAAAATCATTTATTTTAATAGCGTATCAGAGTTATAAAAAATAAATGTTTGTATTACTTTGCAAACTAACGATATATATTTTACATTTAAAGGCAATTTAATAAGAGTACTAAATGAATTGCAGCTTACAAAACAACAACATAATATACCAATGAAATGATAATCTGCTAAAATTGATAATGTATGTAGAAGACACTACACGGTAACCATAAATCTATAAAATGTAAAGCCGGGTGAAATGACAGCCTTTGTCTCCCAGTTATACGATGCGTAAATTTCGAAGTGTGGGAACGAATGGCCTATCAATCATATTCTGACGTTCGATTTTTCGGCTGCGCCGCTCGCCCTAGTGGTGTCTCTTATGATGCTTATAACTTTCCAAATATGAAATATAAGGAGACGTGATTTTGTCAGTGCTGATATTCGAGACCATTATTTAGGTAAGCAGTGTATTTTATACGAAAATATTATACACATACGAGGAAATCTTATTGATCCTCTCGTGTTCTCTCTTCTCTTCTCAAGGATTCGCTTGATTTGTTCCAAAGTTTGTATTTGTATTATAAATAATAATTTTAAAATTTCAGTACCTATTAGGAATACTTTTCCATATTTGGTTACTTTCCTTTATTAGACTGATGGATGATCAGAAACTGGCTAATAATCCTTCAGTTATTATAAATTAAATTGTAGTTGAACATATTTGTGCCTTTAAAAATTTGTGGCAATTAGATAATAATAGTAAATAAATAAATAAGGAATATTGTACACAAATGTTGGCAAAAAATAAAACAAATCAACCGTAAGTCATAATAAATTTGAATATTTATTTTTCGGATATACCTAATAACGAGATTTTCCTAGTGCCCTTCATCGATGGTCATGAGGTTAGTGTCGGGTTCGTAGCTGGTGTCTAGGGTTCGCGTGCGCACTATCTCCTTGTATACGAATGCGGATTTACGAGGTGTGCGCGTACGATTTGGACTCGTATAGTCGACTTCATACAGACCGAAACGCTCACTGTAAACAATTTTGGATATTTTACTCCAACAAAACTTATCAGCAAGCTTCTGTTATACTTACGTAAACTATCTACCTTTCTACCTGGAGTCCGATATATATGTGACATATATATTATATATCCATCATCATTGATGTGTGAAGAAGACATTACACTAATAATATTGGAAAGTACAATGTCAAAATGCAAATCGTTGAGAATCTATTGAGATGTCATTATTAGGTACTTAAACATTAGCAGAATTGGACTGCAATGGTGAGAACGCTAACACAACCTCCGTAGCCGAGTGGTTCGCACGCCGGTTTCGAGGTGTCGCCATCTCTGAGGTCCCAGGTTCGATATCGGGTCGGGTCAATGTATAAAATGAACTTTTCTATATTGACTCGGGTCTGGGTGTTGCGGTACCTTCGTTGTCTCAGATACTCCATAATACGGGGGCTTTAGCTACTCATCTTGGAATCTGAGCAATGTATGTGATGTTGTTAAATTAAAATTAAAAATTAAAAAAAAAATTATAAAATAAAAGCTGTATCGAATTCGTCAATTTGTGTATATAAGCAATTCAAACGTATTATTTCAAATATTGATTTCACAGCTTCATTGCCTATAAATTAATTAACTATATTGGACAATATCACATAAATTGCTCAGATTCCAATTCAAGTAGCTAAAGCCTCTGTAATATGAAGTATCTAAGACAACGAAGGTACCAATAAACTTAGACCCGGTACAATATAGAAAAGTAGTTTTTCTCTCGTCGGGAGTCAAATCCGGTTCAGAGACATCGTTCACTTTTTGTAAAATAACGAAATTTTTATATGCGCGGCATGTTTTAAAGAAGTTAAAACGTACGTGTAGCCTCGCATCCACTCAAAATTATCCATAAGACTCCAAGCAGCATATCCGACAACGTTACAACCGTCGTCCATAGCATCCAGCATTGCATCTAAATACAATCTATAATAAGACACTCGATCATCATCCTCCAAGCCTCCAAATGACGAGAAGCCATTCTCAGTAACCATAATAGGAGGATTGCCGTAAAGTTCCCTTAACCTGTTCAGAAGTTTGTGGAATCCCCAAGGTACAACCTGAAACAGAATAAATACATTCCAAAATCCCAGTATTAATATTTAACGAATTTCGTAGCCGAGAAACTCGCTGGAGTATCTTAGGAATAGATATTTGCGGCCTTTTTTTATTCATGTCTTGGCTGTTAATAAATAAGTGTTATTTAATTTCATATTTGAAATATTAATTTTATCAAAGAAAATCACCTTAATATGCTGCCATCGTCAGAAAAGATTAGGGATATTTTCATTATAAAAAAAAAAAAAACAAAATCATCAAATTAGAACACAAGCGCCTTCTATTGACAATGAAAGAGAAGACAAAAAGAAAAGATTAGGCTTTACCTTAATATAATAATAAAATAATATAATAACCCAAGATTTGGCTGTATGGCTTAGTTACTTCGCCTGTCCTATGGACGAAACTACTTACTACTACTACTTGACAATGAAAAAGAAATAAAGTACCACTGATAATATAATATGATATTGTACCTTAATGTTAATGTCATTGTAAATAACTCTTTTATTCCGTATGGTTCATTTTTTACATTTGTAAACAAACATTTTCATGTAGATGCCCTTTTTAGGCTATTTTAAGATTATGAACTTTTGAAAACCTTTAACGGTAAATAAATATATTTGTCTATGCGTTATTTAGAACGTTTTGAAGCTCCAAATGACCAAAAAGAGGGCAGTGACCCATACTGGGTACTATGTGCTTCATTAACCTTCAATATTAGTATATTTTTGAGAGCCCTTAAGAAAGAAACTGGAATAAAAAGTAACCTTCAACCAGGTCGACGCTGCTCCATCCCACTCTTCAGGTTGGTATCTCGTAGCTCCGATGTCATCCCAGTATGATGGAACATCGTAAGTAACACTGTCATCTACTTTTATCATATTAGTCGTATAATGGTTTAAACCCAAAAAATCAGACGACCCTCGTACAAGTTCCAATTCTTCAGAAGTGAATTCTGGTAATCGAGACCTATAAAATCCTTGCGCTTCGCTCTTAGCAGCAATTTTTTCTTTCATGATAGGCGGAAAATCACCGCTTTCTGTGAATATGGGATGAGCATATTGGCCCCACTGAAAAATAATAAAACAAATATTTGTGGCAGTTTCTGTAAGCACTAATTGAATAAGAAATATTTTTTATTATAATAATAATACCGATTTCGAGTGATATTTAATTATTTTTATATAGGTTACACTAAAAATATTAAATATCTATATTTTTTTCAAATATATATTTAAACTAATATTATAAAGTGGAAAGATTTGTTTGTTTGCATTGAATAGGCTCTAGAAGTACTATCCGGTTTAAAAAATCACCTACGGGAAGCTACATCTTACTCGGGGGACATACGCTATAATTTAGGTGGCGAAGTCGCGGGGTATCAGTTAGTTTTATAGAAATTGCTACACAATTATCGAAGAAATCGATGAATTTACCTACTTTCATAAAGAATATGTGAAGAATATAGTTTTCCTTTTGGATTTTGAATCAATGCAAACACAAAATACGCTATCTTTTGTTTTTTCGCTAATATGTCGTCGCAATATTTCGGTGATATTCGTTGATAAAAATAACCTAGATATTCGACTTCGATAAAATTTATATGCGACCGCCTCGGGTCCATAAGCTGTCTAATATTTCTTTTTTGAAAACCGATTCACAACTGGCGAAGAAATCGTGTAACAAACACATAAAAAAACATACAGTCGAATTGAGCACTACCTCCTCTCTTGAAGTCTTTTAAAAATGGAACATCTACCTCAAATTGTCGCATTTCCTCAGCAGATACGTTGTCCTCTTCAGTCTCAGGCTCATACCAATTCATGCTCAGTGTGATCCCTATTGTTCCGCCCCATTTTCCTCTAAACTCCTTGTCATAAATGTGATAAGCTTTGGCATGAGCTACAAGCAAATTCTTTGCACACATGTACTCAGCAATGCCTTTCATATTAAGTCTCGGAGCTTTTGTAACATCACCATATCCTTGAAAGCAGACTTCGCGTGGCTCGTTTATAGTAATCCAATATTTTACTCTATCTCCAAAATTTTCAAAAGCAACTCTCGCAAAGTCAGCAAACCAGTCAACGATATGAGGATTTGTCCATCCACCTAACTCTTGTAGTCTTTGAGGTAAATCCCAATGATAAAGTGTAATCATAGGTTCAATGTTGTATTTCAACATTTCGTTTATTAAATTATTATAATACTGTATTCCTGCTGCGTTTGGCTTATCAGGAAAACTGGTTGGTAATATTCTGTTCCAAGACAACGAAAATCTGTAGAATTGCAATCCCAACTCTCGCATCATTTCTACATCTCGTTTATATAAATTGTAAGAATCGTCAGCTACATCCCCATTGGAGCAGTCTACTATTAAACAGGGATCTTTATGTGTCATATGATCCCAAATGTTTTCAGTTTTTCCTGCAAAAAATCTTTATCAAACAAGTAACCTAAATAGCGCGGTGGAGTAGTGGACCAACGCCGCGGCCAGTGATCGTTGTTGTTAAGCAACTTTCCCAGGGGTCGGTCAGGGATGGGTGACCAAAAATTATTATCGCAAGCTACTCTGTGTTACGGAAGGCACATTAAGCCGTTGGTCCGGCTGTACTTGTAGTCGTTAATAAGCTCCAATCCGCATTATGCCAGCGTGAAGAGTCATGGCCCATCCTCCTTAACCTTACTTAAGGGAGGTTCTGCAGTGGGGTCGTAAAAGAGATGATGATGAAACCTGATTTTATACATATATAGAATAAATTAACATACCGTCTGCGTCCCAACCACCTTCGATTTGATATGATGCCGTCGCTGCGCCGAAAATGAAGCCATCTGGAAATTGTCTCACATTTTGTTTCGCCTCTTTTATAATATTACAGTTAACCGCCAGGATACATACTAACGTGAGTATTAAGAATCTACGAAAAAAAAAAGTGTTTATAATAATATCTTCAAAACATTGAGAAGTAATTTTAAAAACGTCGTATCTTACGGATTCAATTTATATTTCATCGTTGAAATGTGTATCACAAACTATAACATTAAGTTAGACGAATGCCTTTTTATATGTGTTAAGTGACTGAATAGATCACCTATCACCGAAGACTGATAGTATCGGCACACGAAATCTTTAAGTGGATAAATATATCGTTTATGTAATAATGGGTATGGATTACCTAAACTATTGTTGAGTGCAAATAAACAACTTTGCCAAAATACTTTTTTTTCTTATTCAGTTATAATAACTCAAACCCTTAATCGACAAAAAATGCATGCGTTAAATTATTATAAATAAATCTATCCTATCTATTACAAATATACTATTATAAATTACCAGATCTTCCAATGCTTATCTTAACTTATTTGACATATAATCATATGCTTTTGTAGAATTGTTTATCTAAAAATATATGTTTAAAAATAACATTTCACTCCCGCTATTTGATACTACACTTCACACATTTATATTGTCATTGAAGTTTATGCATGCGCAATAAAATTCGGATGGCAACCGCAAAATACCCCATTTTGTCATTCGATTTAGAGCCTTTTCGTTTCGTAAAACACGGTATTTATTACCTATATCTCAACAGATACGCACGCAGTTACGACAAATTTTCCAAATATTATTACAGATAAACCATTCGGTTCAAATGTTTAGTTTTTTAGTATAACATTGTTTTATCGATTTTATGTAATGGAGAGAGATAAAGTATATTTAAAAACTACGCCCAATAGATCTTTGTTTGTAGCGTAAATTTGAGTAATATTTTATGGTTTCTCAAATATATTTTTTTAAATAAATATCATAATATTCATTCTTATTACTTTATAATTCTTCATATTTTTAGTTATAGGCCTTTTTATTACTTTATAACAGCTTATTTATCCTACCAAAAGGTTCCCAAATTAGAACGGGTCCAAAATCAATACAAACGCAATCAAAGGTGTAGTAAAATCATCAAAAAAGTTTCAACATAGTCTGGCTAAATCAAAATGGCGTCGCTATCTACGAAGGTAAGTCTCAATGGTTGTTACTGAATATTTGAGAAGCCGCAATGCGCTCTGTCTTAAATAAAACATAGTCGTACCAAGGTGAATTTTTTACGAGCCGTGACCCTTAGGCCTCAGACGTGGCCTTTACACTACTGCTTCTCTCTCCTTAACGCAAGTCTGAAAATTGCCTGACGAGTAAAATTTTACATGGCGACTTTTTTCGTTAAATATTGTAACGTCTATAAATTAAATTATTGGGATGCTGTCCTGAAAAAATTATATTCACAAAAATCATTAAAATTATCTTATTCGGTGTGATTTTCTATGTTCTTTTATAATGTGAATCCTGTCTGCCTTTTGTTCTTGTTAATGACACTATAATTATATAATTTAAAGTCGATTAATTACTAATTGTCGTACTTTAAATTTAAAATGTTTGGTTATTTTTGAAGCCGCTTAGAACTCTTTGTTACAAAAATTACGATGAATTGAGAACTCCATTTAGTAGAATCTCTAGGAAAATCATACCAAATTCAAGGGGCTGCTTAAAAGAAGTGTCGCTGCCAGCAAAGGATTGTTTCTAGGAAAACTATGACGATCCTGCAATTTCGACCACAGAAAATTAAGATAAAATCTCTAAACTATTTCTTGACATTTTCTATTCTTGACAGTAAATTTGTAAAATCTCATGAAGCCATGTTGTCCTCTGGCATAATGTTCAGGGTAGAATGAAAAATATTTTTAATGCCTTCTTATTTACTTAGGCTCAATTCATTTAAATATCCAAACTAATTGTTGGAAAAATACTGGAATTCATATAATAAAATTAATCTAATTTACGAATCCTTATCAAAATCTAATTAAAGAAATTCAATATAGAAGCAAAACGTTTATTTTCGTTTAAAAAACGTAGTAATGAAATTCCAATAGATTTAAGTATCAAAATTATTAATTCCTACTAACCATAATAATACAGTAGATTTTTAAAAATAATCGCGCTTTTTCAGAATCAGTTTTTGTGTGCCAGACATTATTAGTCTTGTCAAATTAATGAGTAACATAATCATATCAAAACTTTCATAGAAACTCTGGTTGTAGGTATAGCCAGAGTAGTGTAAAGAAAGGGCAACCATATCTAGTTTGGAGAAGTTTCTGGAAAGTTTGACTATCTCTTGAGAATGAAATGAATGACCCGTCTCGGCTTCAGTCTGAGCCACTTACTAACTTTAGGAAATCATACTTTTTTAGTATGAAATGAATGAATATTTGCAAATGTTGTGTGTTATTTTGTACATACAATTTATTTCTACCTACAACTCGAGACCAGTAAACAAGAAAAAATATGTTTTAGTAGTAGTCTCTCAGTAAATGAATTTATATTTGTATTCTTATGAGAAATAAATATTCACTTTGATATAAAAGTATCTCTTTAATTGTTACACTCAAAGCGAATAATCTTCGCTTGCTTAATGTCATGATGTCACACGATTAAGCCTCAAAGGACATTTTAAAAATACCTCGATGAGCTAGCAACGGGCGTACTCGATAGCCAATCATGTGAGTTATTGGGCACCGACCTATAACGTAACGCAATGTAGCACCGCCACGGCCCGGGACGCGTCCTTGTAGGATATAGGTATTGTGCAATATTTTCCATTTTCATTTTATTTTGGTAAATCTTATAAATATGAGTCCCGGGTCCAATCCTGATCTGCTAATTATAGAAAATTATCTTTTCTATGTTGATTCAGATCTGGGTTTGGAGTACCGTTTAGAATTTGGGATTGATATCTTAATGAAAAATTATTAATATATTACTTATGTACATGGCTCCTATGGCAATGCATAATGCAATATTAATATCGAATGGAGTTACATTATCCGGAAGTTACCCATGGGACCTATATAATGAAACTCGTTTGATTTGTCAGTTTGTCTTGACCCGAGACTTTGATCCGAAATATCTGATGATGGAACTGTAAAGTGGCCATGGAAACTATGTGATTAAATTACGCAGTCCCGTCGAGTTAGGGCTCATTTGTAGTTTCTACACAAGATCTCTGGTTCAAGGTTTTTTATCCAACAAAATCCAACAAAAAGAAAAAAGATCAACAAGATATTATACTCGATACGAATTCTATTCGCATTTAAAAATATATGTGTTAGATGTCTACTGTTTCGATGTTTGACAAGTACTTACCATATGGTCGTACTGATTAAATAACACGATGCAGGGCGCAGGCTGATGAACCGGGTAGCGGCCAACTTGCAAAACGACGGATCACCGGTTATTGCACTGACTGTACCAGGCTCTTCATTCTTAAGAGGGCGCGTATACCAAAAATCACTTACTTTCAACTGATTTTGTACAAAGAAATAACGTCCAAATATACTGTAATTTTAAATATACTATAAATGAAAAACAGACCACATTTCTAAAGTCTCTATCATAACCACAAAGAAATTTATAATTTTTTCTTTATAAAAAAAACACATTTTACATGTAGGCAAAATTGATAAATATGTATTTATTTCGTCACTTCGTAGACGAGGGATTTATGGAGCACCTCTTTTAGCTTTACGTCCACTCTTAATTCGAATACCTTGACCCGCTCCGTCGTTTATTCTTCTCCAACTTAAAGCCTTGATGGACTCTCCACGAGGGTCACGGCGCTTATCCATTGCGCCATCGAGCTACATCAGCACTAAAAAAATGTGAGTTGACTACCCTTACCTTCTTAAGTTTTCTTTTTTCTTTATAGGTACTTTTTCTGCGTGTAAGAGTTATCTACGGTCAGTATATTAAAACATTTTAGTTTAAAGAAATCGATAAAAAGTTTACCTATTTAGCTACGAGTGGACGCGGTCGTAACAATATTAGTGGTTTCGTAATAAGTAAGCATATCGTATCACGTAGTGTGTCGCCCGGCGCAGTCAAAATCATATAGGTAGTTTCATATAGGTAGTTTATAATATTATTAATAGTTATTATGGTAGTGTGTATTGATTTTTTTTCATCTAATACATTTATTACTAACAATGTTAAAATATTCTTAATGATCATGGGTTCCAGTCCCATCTCGGAGTGTTAGGGACAAAGTGGATTTTTGAAGCATTATTCAATAAGAAAATTTTTCAATATAGCATCGTGAATGAAAAATTGATCAAATATAATAACATTTGATAACTCGGGTGTCCAAGTTTATTTCATTTATTATTATAGCCGAAAGTAATAATAATGAAGAAACATATTAGGTCCTTACATTTGTAATTGGTGTTTGGTATAGGAGGAACAAAAAGTCGATAATTTTTAATATAATATATTTATTTAATCAAAATATAAACCATTGTTATCAATACACTTTTGCCATCTCATAGGTAATTCATTGATCCCCTTACTAAAAAAATCATTCGGACTGGAATCAATAAAATCTTTGAAGGCTATTTGCACTGCCCCATCGGAGTTAAATTTTTTCCCTTGCAAGAAGTTATCCAAAGGACATTACTCAACGTCCATACATTGGTGGCCCCAGAGCCAAAAAAATATAGGAAAATACTTATTTTATTGTGTGTCACTAACTAATTCTCATTATGTTTTTATTATACCGCGACCGAGTCTTAGAACTTATTATCACGCAAAATATAATTCATTTTGAGGTTATAATTTGTTTGGAAAACCACCAAGAGATGGCACTCTAAGTACATGATATGATATTGATGTCTATATTGTCGAAGCAAAAAACTCAACTTTAAGAAAGTCTGTTTTTCGTTGTGATTTGTAAAAGTTTCTAAGTCAATCAATACACAAATAAATCATTCTAATAGTTAAATAATATATCTATTAATAAGCTTAAAATTAAAAAACCTATAGCTTTTTGATGGTTTACATCAAAGGATAGATATATACATAAATGACATGATGTTAATATGTTTACGAGAAATATAAAGGCAAAATAAAATATAAATGTAAAAGAAACAAGGTACTTTTTAGGATATGTCGTATATCAATGTTTCTGAATAAACAGGAGTGAATTATCAACAGTTAATGAATTTAGTTTGTATAATATTCAGTTTTTATGTCCTTATGTTTTAGTTGGAAAATCACCAAGAGATGGCGCTTTTAGTAAATTTAAGTTTATTTTCGGTCAATTTAATTTAATGTTTTTGTGTTTGATGGTTTAAAGGTTATCTAATAAAAATAAATGATCTTCTTGATCTGACGTGTAAATTACATCCATCTGACTCAATAGAATTTAAGTATATTGAATGTGAATATTTGCGAATAAAAATGTTACTGTTAAAGTACTTTTAAATATTAATTTTGGATCGCAGCTTGTTCGTGTCAAATAAATATTTGATTCCAATTTAACAAATAAATTAGTAATTATTATTGAAGTATTAATATTTAATGGTATTGGGGCCATTTTCGGCGATGTCCTTTCGAAAAAAAATGGTAATCTGTTGGAGCAAGGTCCGGGGAGTACGATGGATGTCTGAGAAATTCCAGTTGAGGCTCATCTAATTTGGAAGC